GCTCGAATCAACCGTCGTCTCTTCAAGAGCTTTGACGCCATGAAGCGTCGTTGCCGTGACAACGAGTGCAGCTCGGGATGCAGCAAGCGTCGTCGCCGTGACGCCATGACACGAGGTATTGTGCAGTGGAGCTCGGTACCGCTGAGAAGGCCGTCTCAGTCTCAGCAACAGTGTCATTACGGCGTATGCTGGTTCTGAAGCGTGCTCGTAACCGCAGAGACCACTGACGACTGTGCCAGGAGGTGTGCTGCTTCTAGATCCATTGAGACGTATGCAATAGCCGGGTCATGGCCTTGCGGAAAGTCCCAACTAAAGTAACATAAGTTTCGGAAACAGGTTCAGATGGCCTCCACAGTAGCACCATGGTAAAGCTACTTTAAGGAAGACCAGGGACGGAACCCTTCATAATGAGGTCACCTGGGGTTCACTCCTACGTCGTTCAGCTAAAGATGCAGTAGAGGTAATACGCATAAGAAAGCTGGATTGATGGGACGGGAGCGGGAGCCATAGCGCCTAGGGGAAGCTAGGATGTCATGTTGCGGTAGCCAGATCTTTCTAAACTGGAAACTAGTTTTCCAGCCTAACCGTATAAGACGTCTCTGCGATACAGAGTCAGCGTGATGCCATGGCAAGGAGCTGATTTACAAACAGCTCAAGAGTTCCATGGAAATGGGAATGAGCTAGCATTAGGAAATTCGATGAATCTAGCAAGCTGAACGACAAGTATGAATCTGAGAATTGGACTGACTCTAGCATTCAAGTTCAGGGACTGATCGGTACCGTACGGTACTACAGGCATTCAGGGAACAATCACGAAGAGCATGCAGGTTTGGAGGGGAAGGGGGGGTATGGAGGCGTGCCGTGGCGTGGCGTGGGGAGAATGGCGTGGGGGAGAGCGGAACAGCCGGCCAGTCACTGGAGGAGAAAGAAAAAGACTTCGCATGTGTAGCTTCATTCCCCATCCCCTCTAGGTCATGCGCTAGAGGGGAGTCCCGCCTGACCTTGGCGGAGCTGACACAAGAGGAATCCTTTGAATAATTGTGATTACTGTCAAAACGATTACACAGCAGCAGAATAGCAATATGATATGACTAGAGTAGCCAACGCCAAAAAATCAACAGCAGTAGCCTTCTAGCATGTATTCACAAGTATAGACATCATGCTGATGCTATAACACTATCACTTGCATAACCTGTTGCTAAAAATAATAACCCAAATGCCTCTGCATCTTCTCTGCTCCGACACCACTAACCCATCTACTTTTGAGGCACGTCAATGGGGCAAGAGCCATCGTCCACATTGGCAAGCGGGTCGAAGAAAGGCGAGCTGGGGTCCATGCAGCCTGGCACAAGGTCAAGCCGGCACGACTGGCCCTGAAGGCGGGAACATAGGCGAAAATTCATGTGCATTTGGAGGGTTAGGATTAGTTCGAGATAACACAAAAAAAACTACAGCTTCCCATGTGACGACTCATGTGCATGATGTGTGGTAAAGCATTAAAGAAATGTGAAGACCCTGCTTACCTCTTCCTTGGCGATACCACCCGGCATGATGCATCGATCGGGCACGTATTGAGAGTCGGGGAAGATGGTGTCGTCACACGCTCCCTCTGCCTCCAGACTCTTCTTCAGACCCTGGCGGTGGAAGAAAGCGGGGGTCGGGGCGTGTGGGAGGAGCGGGGGAGGGGCGTGTGGGAGGAGCGGGGGAGGGGCGTGTGGGAGGAGCGGGGGAGGGGCGTGTGGGAGGAGCGGGGGAGGGGCGTGTGGGAGGAGCGGGGGAGGGGCGTGTGGGAGGAGCGGGGGAGGGGCGTGTGGGAGGAGCGGGGGAGGGGCGTGTGGGAGGAGCGGGAGAGGGGCGTGTGGGAGGAGCGGGGGAGGGGCGTGTGGGAGGAGCGGGGGAGGGGCGTGTGGGAGGAGCGGGAGAGGGGCGTGTGGGAGGAGCGGGGGAGGGGCGTGTGGGAGGAGCGGGGGAGGGGCGTATGGGAAGAAACAACACAGAGTGTTGAACAGCGGCTGGTCAGGAAAACGTAGTGTGCGTGTGCATGTGCGAAAGGGTGTGGGTGGGATGACAGGACAGACAGTGCAGGGAATATGCAAACAATGCTCTTCAACCGACAGTCCCTCACCTCGTTGAAGAATGACATGGGCTGGTTGCGGAAGGCGGCCGGGATCTGCATTTCCACCACGTACGGCCCGTCCCACGCCTCTGAGAAGTCTCAAAGGGGTACCTCCGACGCTAACTCTGACTACTGTGCCTCTAACCATGCCTCACCTCATTGAAGAATGACATGGGCTGGTTGTGGAAGGCGGCCGGGATCTGCATTTCCACCACGTACGGCCCGTCCCACGCCTCGCCGTCAGTCATGGAGAACTCAATGGTCTTGGCGTGCAGCGGCACGTTCACCTTAATCGAAAACAGCGGCGCGCAGCTCGGCCCACGCTCCTTGCGGCTCATCCTCCTCGCCTCACCGCCGCACATAATGGGGCTGTTAAAGCCGCCTGGGAGGGCGACGAGGGACAGGGAAGGTGCGGCGAGAAGCATTGTTTTGAAGGCAGAGAGAGGGGAGAGGTGGAGGGTGACTCGCATGGCTTGTCGCCTCGCATCATGGTCGGGCATGTTGGGGCTGTTGACGCCGTTTGGGACAGAAAAGGTGGACAATGGAGTGCTGAGTGCACTCGAGCAACCAGCAGCAGAAGCAGTTACAAGAAAGCCGGGGAAGTGTCGTACCGTTGAAAGCGACGCCGAACTCGGGGTTGGGAGTGAGGGTGGATGCCTCGGGGTTGAACCAGATGGTCATCAGCTCGCCCTGAGTGACACCAGAGACATGAGCATGGTTGAGGGTGCGGGAGTGGAGAGGGGCGGAGAGAGGGGAGGGGAGGGAGTGAATGTGTGATGATGGTGTGAAGGTGGATGGCTCGAAGAGGGGGTTGCGGAAGGAGAGGGAGAAAGGGACGCGGAGTGGGAAGGGGAAGAGAAAGGGGAGGGAGACGTGGAGAAGAAGGGCGTGGGAATGGTTGGAGACTGTGAGGGGTTGGACGAGGCTGGGGACTGCTGAATCGTCTCACATCGCAAGCGGAAAAGCGTTGTAGGCGAACGGCAGCAGCAGGATTGAAAAAGGGATGATGGAAGAGGAGATTGACGTACGGAGGCAGGGGCGAGGCCGGTGGCAGTTTCCCAGAAGACAGGGGCCAAGCCGAGCTCAAAGCGCGCCCACGTGGGCAGCTGATACCTGATGATGTGGCAGGAGAAGGGTAGCACGGAGCGGAGTGGAGGAAAAAAACGGTAAACGAAGGGAAATGCGAAGAAAGAAAACGGCCAGCCAACAGAAAGGAAACGCAGCTGGAGTTGGAGCTTGGCAGCGCACTAGGGCCTCGGGGTTGCCGCTGGACTGAACGTTTGCGAACTGTGAATTGAATGCTTGACGGGAACGAGTCAGCTTGCTAGACGGGAAAGCAGCAACTCACTTGGTGGCGGGCTTGTCGGTGGCGACGGCGGCGCGGACGACTGGCCTCTTGGCGGACGATGCGGCGCGAAGGGGAGCGGCGGAGAAGGTGGAGAGCGAGGACACGAGAAAGAGCCGACGAACGCGGATGCTGATTGGTCGAGAGCCAGACGACATGATTGTAGGGGGGGGGGGGGGGGGGGGGGGGGAGGAGAAGGAAAAGGAGGAGGGGAAGGGGAGAAGGAGAGGGGGGAGATGAGGAACGGTTGGGAGCGGCGGAAGTGGAAGACGAGGGGGAAGCGAGGGAGAAAAGTTGCTGGTGTAAGGTCGACGCACAGACTGGAAAATTTGTCACGGGGTCTGTCATGCAAATCGAGCGAAACCCTAATCCAGTCGACGGAGAGGGAAGTTCAAGAACAATGTCAAACGCTTCTGTTGACCAAATTTTCGCGTACGATGAGGCGAACTGGTAAACAGGTCATGCCCTAGCAGCGAATACGCGAGGTAGAGCTTACTAAGCGAGGTCGGTGCCCTCGTTGCTGCAGTGGTGGCAGCAGAGGCGAGCTCGGCAGAAACGGCTGCACGGATAGCAGTCGCCATGGTCGATCGCTTCTATTAATCACGAGTGAGGAGTCGTAAAGAAGCGAGGAAAGACGTGGCTCAATCTGCCTTGCCGAATTTCTCAATAGAATACAGCACAGCACCAGCGGAAAATACGCTTTATATAGCGCTGTGGGGGTTGAAGTGGTATGGCAGTTTGAAAAGCAGGCAGGCTGCGAAGGTTTCTTCGAGCAGGTTCGGTTTGAAACTTCTGAGTCACAGCAGAGTGCCGCGGAAGGGGGAGCCGGGAGGAGGGATGTGGGCCTTGCGGGTTGATTCGGCGGAGAAGGGCGAGCGGAAAATACTACTAGAAGATGATCGCAGAATGCGGGGGGAGGAAGGTCCTGGGCAGAGAATTGAGCGGAAGGGCAGCGGAGATTCCCCAAGGAGACAGGGGACCTAGAGCCAACGAGCTGGCGCATTTGCGAAGATGGGCGAGAACGCGAGAACTCTCTTTTCCCTATGGCTGGTTACAGAAGATGAACCTGGACTCGAACTGCTTTCAAGAACTTTATGGAGGTGATTGGTCAGCTTTGGTCTGCCTCCGCTGGAAGGGAGAGATAAGTCGGAGAGGTGCCAGGTGGCGTGACCAATTCAGTTACAATTGACGGTCGAAAGTGCAGGATTCCGTCAGACGAAACAGTTCACTTCGCATTTCTGATTCCTGGTTGGTTCAAAATTCTTCCCCGCATGTTGTAAAGATATTTTCATGGCCCAACGGGCGCCGGCCACGCCGTCTCCACTCCTTCCATCTGCCCAGCCCTCAGAACCAACAGATATTTCTCGCGAGTTACAGGCGTAAATTGTTACAATATACACTCGAGGCTGTCTTTCTTAGTTGCTTTTCCCATCTCAATTCTGCGCAATAATTCAAAGTGACTAGTTCCCAGTATCATTCTCTGACACTTGCGGGTCGACACAACTGACACCATGACCTTCCTCTGACTCCGCTCCGCCTATGGCGCATCCAACACGCGCCGCCCAGCCACACACCCCGTCATTCCTCCGCCAAATTCGGCGGGCCCCGGGTCGCATCATGCGGTCCACGCCTCTCCGCTTCGTCGCCCTCGCGATCCTGCTCGCCTTCTCTCTCCTCCTCACGGGCGAATTCGAAATGCAACGACGGTTCGACCCACAACGGCCATTCCACGCGCAGCGGTTCCTCTCCCTCATACGCCCCCCGCACCGCACGCACACAGCCGCAGGCGACGACGCGAGCCGTGCGACGGGCGACACGACGAGCCGCAGTAACCCGCACCAGGGCGACGAATCCGAGCAGGACACAGAGGATCCGACTCCCTCGGTCGCCGCGCCGCCGCTTTCCGCGGAGGATTTTAAAACCCTAGAGAGCCTAATAGAGCAACCAGTGGAGGAGGAGGATGGGCAGGAGAACGAGGAGGAGGGGGAGAAAGGAGGGGAGGAGGAGGAGGAGGGGGATCGGGAGAGGGAAAAGGGGAAGCTGAATTGGGGTTTGGTGGGGAGATTGGTGGGGTTTGGGAGCCAATTGGTGAATGCCACGTGGGAGAGAGTTGGGGGGGTTGTGAGAGGCGGGGTGGAGGTGTGGGAGAAGCGGGAGAAGGAGGCGAGGAGTAGGAAGGAGTGGCGGAGAGTGGTTGAGAGCGATAGGAGGAAGAGGATGGAGGCGAGGAGGAGAGGTGGAAAAGGGAGGAAAAGGAGGAGGAAGGGGAGTGGTGATGGAGTGATTGGAAGGGTGGAGACGAGAGGGTTAGACTCAGAGGAACACAGCAACGGCAGCAGCAGCAGCAGCAACAACAATGCCTCTAGCAGCATCAGCGAGGTTAGCAGTAGCAGGAGAGCAGGGCTGTTGGAGCGAGGACCTGCTGCCTCTGCTGCTGCAACTCTAACCACAGGTGCTGCTCACACTGGCGGTCAAATTGCACCCACCAACTTATCAGCAGCGGCGGCAGCAGCAGCAGCAGCAGCAGCAGCAGCAGGAGTGGACGACTGTTTAAACGAGCTGAAGCGTGTGACTGAAATGAAGGGCCTTCGACCCGACGCGCTGTTTCCCAGAAACTTCTCCGTGCACCTTCTCACTCTGGACCCCTCCCGGCGCCGCACGGGGCTGCCCTTGAAGCTGCACGAGTGGAGCGCTGAGAGCGTGTTTGTCATCGGGACAGGAGAGCCGGGCAAGGGGCGACGAGAGACGCTGCTGGTATGGTGAGAGTTGCTGCTGTGTCTCTCTGCCTTCTCTTTGCCTCTGATGTCTCATTGCTGCGCCGCTCAGGGCTGCCCCTGAAGCTGCGCGAGTGGAGCGCTGAGAACGTGTTTGTGATGGGCACAGGCGGGGGGCAAGGGACGACGAGAGACGCTGCTGGTATGGTGAGGGTCTCTGCTTGCCGCTGTTTGCTTTGCGCTGTAGTCCCGTCCTTGTGTTTGCCTTGCCTCCCCTGTCTCTTGCTGCTTTGCACGGGGCTGCCCGTGAAGCTGCGCGAGTGGAGTGCTGTGAGCGAGTCTGTGGTTGGCACGGGGGAGCCGGGCAAGGGATGGTGAGAGTCTCCCTGCTCTTGAGTCGACTCAAAAGCCGGGCAAGGGATGGTGAGAGTCTCCCTGCTCTTTGCGTGCCACCTGTGGCTTGCCCTCCTCCCCTTACCTCGGCTCTCTGGCAAGCTCTGGACCCGCAGTTATTTGTTTAATCTGAAAAAAAAATAAAAATAATAACGCCACTTCCCTCTGCGTGTATTTCGGCTCTGTCCCCCACCTGTGCTCTCTGGCAGAATCTAGACAGGCGGTTCCGTGCAGCAGGGCTGCAGTACACGCAGGTGGTGATGCCCATGGCACTAGAGGAGCCGTTTAAAGCGAGGTGAGTGTGGTAGAGAGCATACTGTGTGTGTGTTTGCGGTGTAGAGATTACTGTGTGTGGATATGATAGAAGTGTATGACTGCAAGCAGCAGGGCTGCAGTACACGCAGGTGGTGATTCCCATGGCGCTGGAAGAGCCGTTTAAAGCACGGTGTGTTTTTGTGTGTGAAGGCGATATGTCAGGGTGTTGCTGCTCCAACTGCTGCCTCCCCCTCCTTCTCTCCCCTGCTCCCATGCTCCCCTGCTCCCCTTCTCCCCTGCTCCCCTTCTCCCCTTCTCCCCTGCTCCCCTGCTCCCCTGCTCCCCTGCTCCCCTGCTCCCCTGCTCCCCTGCTCCCCTGCTCCCCTGCTCCCCTGGTTCCCTGCTCCCCTGCTCCCATGCCCCAGCTACAAGCCTGTGTTCAATCCTTGAGGCGCATTTAGTTCTTCCCTGCCTTCCCTCCCTCCTCCTCCTTACAGGTACGACCCAGTGTTCCCGGCTCGATCTCTCTCCCTCCGCTCCACCTTCCACCCGCACGACCTCGCATACGCGTTCGCGCATTTCGAGGTGTGGGCGAGGGTGGTGGTGCTGCGGCTGCCATACGCGTTGGTGTTTGAAGATGATGCGAGGAACGAGGTGGACTCGAATGCAGCCTGGAAGCAGCGGATGGAAGGGGTGAGTATGAGTGGGGAGGGTATGTGATATGTGTTAAAGGGTGAGCATGTGAAGGGGTGAGTGTGAAGGGGTGAGTGTGAAGGGGTGAGTGTGTGAGTGCAGCTCCAGTCCCCAAGCCGGGACTGCAGCTCCAGTCCCCAAGCCGGGACTGCAGCTCCAGTCCCCAAGCCGGGACTGCAGCTCCAGTCCCCAAGCCGGGACTGCAGCTCCGGTCCCCAAGTCGGGACTGCAGCTCCAGTCCCCAAGCCGGGACTGCAGCTCCAGTCCCCAAGCTGGGACTGCAGCTCCAGTCCCCAAGTCGGGACTGCAGCTCCAGTCCCCAAGCCGGGACTGCAGCTCCAGTCCCCGAGCCGGGACTGCAGCTCCAGTCCCCGAGGCGGGACTGCAGCTCCAGTCCCCGAGCCGGGACTGCAGCTCCAGTCCCCGAGCCGGGACTGCAGCTCCAGTCTCCAAGCCGGGACTGCAGCTCCAGTTCCCAAGCCGGGACTGCAGCTCCAGTCCCCAAGCCGGGACTGCAGCTCCAGTCCCCAAGCCGGGACTGCAGCTCCAGTCCCCAAGCCGGGTCTGCAGCTCCAGTCCCCAAGCCGGGACTGCAGCTCCAGTCCCCAAGCCGGGACTGCAGCTCCAGTCCCCAAGCCGGGACTGCAGCTCCAGTCCCCAAGCCGGGACTGCAGCTCCAGTCCCCGAGGCGGGACTGCAGCTCCAGTCCCCAAGCCGGGACTGCAGCTCCAGTCCCCAAGCCGGGACTGCAGCTCCAGTCCCCAAGCCGGGACTGCAGCTCCAGTCCCCGAGGCGGGACTGCAGCTCCAGTCCCCGAGGCGGGACTGCAGCTCCAGTCCCCGAGGCGGGACTGCAGCTCCAGTCCCCGAGGCGGGCCTGCAGCTCCAGTCCCCGAGGCGGGACTGCAGCTCCAGTCCCCGAGGCGGGACTGCAGCTCCAGTCCCCGAGCCGGGACTGCAGCTCCAGTCCCCAAGCCGGGACTGCAGCTCCAGTCCCCAAGCCGGGACTGCAGCTCCAGTCCCCGAGGCGGGACTGCAGCTCCAGTCCCCGAGGCAGCTGGGACTGCAGCTCCAGTCCCCAAGCCGGGACTGCAGCTCCAGTCCCCGAGGCGGGACTGCAGCTCCAGTCCCCGAGCCGGGACTGCAGCTCCAGTCCCCAAGCCGGGACTGCAGCTCCAGTCCCCACGCCGGGACTGCAGCTCCAGTTCCCAAGCCGGGACTGCAGCTCCAGTTGCCAGGGCGGGACTGCAGCTCCAGTCCCCGAGGCGGGACTGCAGCTCCAGTCCCCGAGGCGGGACTGCAGCTCCAGTCCCCGAGGCGGGACTGCAGCTCCAGTCCCCGAGCCGGGACTGCAGCTACAGTCCCCACGCCGGGACTGCAGCTCCAGTCCCCGAGCCGGGACTGCAGCTCCAGTCCCCAAGCCGGGACTGCAGCTCCAGTCCCCGAGGCGGGACTGCAGCTCCAGTCCCCGAGGCGGGACTGCAGCTCCAGTCCCCGAGGCGGGACTGCAGCTCCAGTCCCCGAGCCGGGACTGCAGCTCCAGTCCCCACACCAGGACTGCAGCTCCAGTCCCCACGCCGGGACTGCAGCTCCAGTTCCCAAGCCGGGACTGCAGCTCCAGTTGCCAAGCCGGGACTGCAGCTCCAGTCCCCGAGGCGGGACTGCAGCTCCAGTCCCCGAGGCGGGACTGCAGCTCCAGTCCCCGAGGCGGGACTGCAGCTCCAGTCCCCGAGCCGGGACTGCAGCTCCAGTCCCCAAGCCGGGACTGCAGCTTCAGTTCCCAAGCCGGGACTGCAGCTCCAGTCCCCAAGCGGGGACTGCAGCTCCAGTCCCCGAGGCGGGACTGCAGCTCCAGTCCCCAAGGCGGGACTGCAGCTCCAGTCCCCGAGCCGGGACTGCAGCTCCAGTCCCCGAGGCGGGACTGCAGCTCCAGTCCCCGAGGCGGGACTGCAGCTCCAGTCCCCAAGCCGGGACTGCAGCTCCAGTCCCCGAGCCGGGACTGCAGCTCCAGTCCCCGAGGCGGGACTGCAGCTCCAGTCCCCGAGGCGGGACTGCAGCTCCAGTCCCCGAGGCGGGACTGCAGCTCCAGTCCCCGAGGCGGGACTGCAGCTCCAGTCCCCGAGGCGGGACTGCAGCTCCAGTCCCCGAGGCGGGACTGCAGCTCCAGTCCCCGAGGCGGGACTGCAGCTCCAGTCCCCACGCCGGGACTGCAGCTCCAGTCCACATGCCGAGACTGCAGCTCCAGTTCCCAAGCCGGGACTGCAGCTCCAGTTGCCAAGCCGGGACTGCAGCTCCAGTCCCCAAGCCGGGACTGCAGCTCCAGTCCCCGAGGCGGGACTGCAGCTCCAGTCCCCAAGCCGGGACTGCAGCTCCAGTCCCCAAGCCGGGACTGCAGCTCCAGTCCCCACGCCAGCTGGGACTGCAGCTCCAGTCCCCAAGCCGGGACTGCAGCTCCAGTCCCCGAGCCGGGACTGCAGCTCCAGTCCCCAAGCCGGGACTGCAGCTCCAGTCCCCAAGCCGGGACTGCAGCTCCAGTCCCCAAGCCGGGACTGCAGCTTCAGTTCCCAAGCCGGGACTGCAGCTCCAGTCCCCAAGCCGGGACTGCAGATCCAGTCCCCGAGGCGGGACTGCAGCTCCAGTCCCCAAGGCGGGACTGCAGCTCCAGTCCCCGAGCCGGGACTGCAGCTCCAGTCCCCGAGGCGGGACTGCAGCTCCAGTCCCCGAGGCGGGACTGCAGCTCCAGTCCCCAAGCCGGGACTGCAGCTCCAGTCCCCGAGCCGGGACTGCAGCTCCAGTCCCCGAGGCGGGACTGCAGCTCCAGTCCCCGAGGCGGGACTGCAGCTCCAGTCCCCGAGCCGGGACTGCAGCTCCAGTCCCCAAGCCGGGACTGCAGCTCCAGTCCCCACACCAGGACTGCAGCTCCAGTCCCCACGCCGGGACTGCAGCTCCAGTTCCCAAGCCGGGACTGCAGCTCCAGTTGCCAAGCCGGGACTGCAGCTCCAGTCCCCGAGGCGGGACTGCAGCTCCAGTCCCCGAGGCGGGACTGCAGCTCCAGTCCCCGAGGCGGGACTGCAGCTCCAGTCCCCACGCCGGGACTGCAGCTCCAGTCCACATGCCGAGACTGCAGCTCCAGTCCCCGAGGCGGGACTGCAGCTCCAGTCCCCAAGGCGGGACTGCAGCTCCAGTCCCCGAGCCGGGACTGCAGCTCCAGTCCCCGAGGCGGGACTGCAGCTCCAGTCCCCAAGCCGGGACTGCAGCTCCAGTCCCCGAGCCGGGACTGCAGCTCCAGTCCCCAAGCCGGGACTGCAGCTCCAGTCCCCGAGGCGGGACTGCAGCTCCAGTCCCCGAGGCGGGACTGCAGCTCCAGTCCCCGAGGCGGGACTGCAGCTCCAGTCCCCGAGCCGGGACTGCAGCTCCAGTCCCCACATCAGGACTGCAGCTCCAGTCCCCACGCCGGGACTGCAGCTCCAGTTCCCAAGCCGGGACTGCAGCTCCAGTTGCCAAGCCGGGACTGCAGCTCCAGTCCCCGAGGCGGGACTGCAGCTCCAGTCCCCGAGGCGGGACTGCAGCTCCAGTCCCCGAGGCGGGACTGCAGCTCCAGTCCCCGAGCCGGGACTGCAGCTCCAGTCCCCAAGCCGGGACTGCAGCTTCAGTTCCCAAGCCGGGACTGCAGCTCCAGTCCCCAAGCGGGGACTGCAGCTCCAGTCCCCGAGGCGGGACTGCAGCTCCAGTCCCCAAGGCGGGACTGCAGCTCCAGTCCCCGAGCCGGGACTGCAGCTCCAGTCCCCGAGGCGGAACTGCAGCTCCAGTCCCCGAGGCGGGACTGCAGCTCCAGTCCCCAAGCCGGGACTGCAGCTCCAGTCCCCGAGCCGGGACTGCAGCTCCAGTCCCCGAGGCGGGACTGCAGCTCCAGTCCCCGAGGCGGGACTGCAGCTCCAGTCCCCGAGGCGGGACTGCAGCTCCAGTCCCCGAGGCGGGACTGCAGCTCCAGTCCCCGAGGCGGGACTGCAGCTCCAGTCCCCGAGGCGGGACTGCAGCTCCAGTCCCCGAGGCGGGACTGCAGCTCCAGTCCCCACGCCGGGACTGCAGCTCCAGTCCACATGCCGAGACTGCAGCTCCAGTTCCCAAGCCGGGACTGCAGCTCCAGTTGCCAAGCCGGGACTGCAGCTCCAGTCCCCAAGCCGGGACTGCAGCTCCAGTCCCCGAGGCGGGACTGCAGCTCCAGTCCCCAAGCCGGGACTGCAGCTCCAGTCCCCAAGCCGGGACTGCAGCTCCAGTCCCCACGCCAGCTGGGACTGCAGCTCCAGTCCCCAAGCCGGGACTGCAGCTCCAGTCCCCGAGCCGGGACTGCAGCTCCAGTCCCCAAGCCGGGACTGCAGCTCCAGTCCCCAAGCCGGGACTGCAGCTCCAGTCCCCAAGCCGGGACTGCAGCTTCAGTTCCCAAGCCGGGACTGCAGCTCCAGTCCCCAAGCCGGGACTGCAGATCCAGTCCCCGAGGCGGGACTGCAGCTCCAGTCCCCAAGGCGGGACTGCAGCTCCAGTCCCCGAGCCGGGACTGCAGCTCCAGTCCCCGAGGCGGGACTGCAGCTCCAGTCCCCGAGGCGGGACTGCAGCTCCAGTCCCCAAGCCGGGACTGCAGCTCCAGTCCCCGAGCCGGGACTGCAGCTCCAGTCCCCGAGGCGGGACTGCAGCTCCAGTCCCCGAGGCGGGACTGCAGCTCCAGTCCCCGAGCCGGGACTGCAGCTCCAGTCCCCAAGCCGGGACTGCAGCTCCAGTCCCCGAGGCGGGACTGCAGCTCCAGTCCCCGAGCCGGGACTGCAGCTCCAGTCCTTGAGCCGGGACTGCAGCTCCAGTCCCCGAGGCGGGACTGCAGCTCCAGTCCCCGAGGCGGGACTGCAGCTCCAGTCCCCGAGCCGGGACTGCAGCTCCAGTCCCCACACCAGGACTGCAGCTCCAGTCCCCATGCCGGGACTGCAGCTCCAGTTCCCAAGCCGGGACTGC